CTGCCCAAGTGCAGCACCCTGCACTTGTCAGTATTGAATCCCATCCTATTCTCATTTGCCCACCCCTGTAACCTGTCCAGGTCCAGCTGTATCCTGTCCCTCCCTTCTAGCATGCCCACCTCGCCCCAAATCTTGGTGTCATCAGTGAATTTGAACAGGGTGCTTTTCACCCCCTTGTCCAAGTCACTAATAAAGAGATTAAACAGTGTGGGCCCAAGGACCAAGCCCTGGGGGACCCCACTGCCCACATTCCCCCAGGCTGAATATGATCCGTCCACCACCACTCTCTGGGTGCGGCCCTTCAGCCAATTTGCAACCCATCTGACTGTGTAGGCATCAACGCCACAGTCACCTAGCTTTTTAATGAGAATTAAATGGGGTGAGAGACAGTGTCAAAGACACCTAAAGTCCAGAAAGACTACATCCACTGCAACACCTGCGTCCAACAATTTTGTGACCTGATCATAGAAGGCAATCAGGTTGGTCTGACAGGACCTGCCCCTAATGAACCCATGCTGGTTGCCCCTGAGCATCGTCCCCACTGCTGGTCCATCCCAGATTTGCTCCTGGATAATCTTCTCAAAGAGCTTCCCCAGGATCGAAGTAACACTAACGGGCTTATAGTTGACCGGGTCCTCCCTCCTCCCTTTTTTGAAAATGGGGACCACATTGGCCTTCTTCCAGTCATCTGGCACCTGACCAGAGTACCACGAGTGCTTGTAAAGCCATGCCAGGGGCCCCTTGACAACCCCAACCAATTCCCTCAACACCCTGGGGTGGAGAGCATCTAGACCTGCTGATTTGAACATGTCCAGCCCATCCAGAAGTTCCCTAACTTGGTCTTCCCTGACCCTAGGCCTGGCAGAGTCTCTCCTGCGTCCATCCTGAATCTCAGTGGGGGAGTCCCAGTCCCTGCACAAAAAAATAGTGGCAAAGAAATTGTTTAAAAAGTCTGCCTTTTCCTCTGGTGCAACCACCAGACTGCCAAGCGTATCCCGCAGGGGCCCCATGTTTCCCGGTGATTTCCCAATGTAATGGATGGTCCCAATATAAACTGATTTCTTACAGAATGCAAATGCAGGCCTCACACTCTGGGCCAGGGACCTAAAAGTGACCCCATTACCTTGGGCCACACTTCATTCCCAAAGAAAGGAAGTCCCAGGGAGCCAGTTTAGTTGGATTTCTGTTTCTCACTGGGAAAATAGTTCCTAACCTAAGGCAGCTCATCCCCCAGCTGCCTGGCATTTCTACTGGAAAGTATTTTCCACCCAAAATTGAACAATTTCAGCCCAACCCCAGGTCTCTTTCAGTTTTAGCTGGGATAGAGACTGGCAGAGTTTGGCTGGAGTTGTGGTAGCTTGTGGGGCTATAGAGAGAGGCTCAGGAAGAATGAATCTTTACTCATCAGATACATGTCCAGGAATATTTTCTAGTGTGAAAAACCAAGAGCAGAGCATCGTTTCTTGGGGTACAACAGAGTGTTTTGGCTGAGGGTAGGCATTGAAGGCTGTTCATGAATCCCACACACATGCAGGGGAAGGACAAACAAACCCTTTGAAGTCCCTTCCTACCCTATGATTTAAGGGCAGAGACAGCAGAGGGTCTCCAAATTGTTCAAGGGTTGCGGTAAGCCTTTACCACAAGGCAATGGCATGAGCCATTTTCCAGCCATGAGCTCCATGGCAGTGAGTGGTTGGTTGAGCTGTGTTGTTGTCAGCTGCAGGTTGCCAGGATTTAAGGCTGTGATGTTCGAACAGTTCCCTGCTGGGACTGGGCGCTGAATCTTGTGCTCTTTCTCAGTGAGGCTGGAGGAAACCAGCCCCAGGTGGATGTGAATGCCTCATTCCCCAACAGCTCCAGATCCCACCTGGATTGTAGAAATCCTAGCTCCAGAAAGGATGGGTGGCCAGGGTGTGGGGAAAGATGGATGGGTGGAATCCTAGAAAGAGAAGGGACCTTGAGCGAAGGAGTGATGAATGTGGGGAATACATGTGGGGATGGATCAGTGGTGGATGAAGAGCAAGGGCATGAGGTTGTATCAAACCACATAATCCCAGGGCTGGAACAGACCTCAAAGGTCATTCAGTCCAACCCCTGCTCAGATGCAGGACACACTGGTGACCCATCCCAGGTGCATGTCTCTCCAGCCTCTTCCTGGAACCTCCTGAGAAGGAGACTCCACCACACCCCTGGGCAGCTGGTCCTAGTGTTCGACTGCTCTGATAGGGAGATAGTTGCTCCCAGGGTTGGATTTCTATAGGCTTAGCCCACTTGCCTTGATTTCTACCCTTTGTGTCAAGGAGATCTATGTTTCTCCTCCTCTTGGTGGTGACCTTTCAAACATTTGAACACTGCTGTCTTTCCCCTTCCATCAACTCTCCTTCAGGCTAAATCTGCCCAGCTCTCCTCTTTTCCTCATGAGGCTGCATTCCAGTCCTGTTATCATCTTTCTTGTTAGTCTCTGGGCCCTCTCTGCCTTATCCACATCCTCCTTAAAATGTGCCAAGAACCGCACTATACTCCAGCTGAGGCCTAACCAATGCCAAGTAGAGTGCTACTATCACCTTCAGTGTCTCCCACACAAAGCTACTGTTAATGCAACCCCAAATTCCTTTGTTTGGCAACTGTGTCGTGCGGTTGATTCAAGTTGGGTTAGTGCTTCACTGTGATCATCAGAGCCTTCTTGGCTGGGTGACTATCTAGCCTGTATCTCCCTGTCCATACGTAGCCACCACTTTTTCTTCCACAGGGGCAACACCTTGCCTTTGCTTTGGTTGAATTTCATTTAGTTGCCTACAGCGTGGTATATCATCAGTCCCTTCCTGGAAAGTGAAAGGGTGGAACTCAACTGACTGGGGTCCACCCAGGGAACCCAAAAAGATATCTGTAGCTTATGTGAAACAGTAGTAGAGGTCTCAGGATCCAAGCATCACATGCAGCATTAACCTTGGGAAGCTATGAAAACAGGGAACAGTGACCTGATGACCTGATCCTGGACTTTAGAAACTCTGAAGACTGGGAAGGGCCTGGGGGAGTTCTTGGAGTGCAGGAAAGCACAAAGGAACAGGATTTTAAAGAAAAAGCAGTATTAAAAAAATCAAAGTTGTATTTTTTTAATTTTTTTTTTTTTTTTGCAAAGAGGGGAGGTTTTGCAAGAGATGGAAGGGGAGATGCTGGGGGTTGTTTTTCCTGTGGATGGTCTGAACCTGATTGTGTTTTTAATGATAGTTTCTCTGTTCTGAGGATGGGAAACGAGTGGAGTCTGGGAGATTAGAGAAGGCGGTCTGGGACCCATAACACCTGGAATTTGACTCCATTTGACCTCGAATTTGAATCCATGTTCTGATTGGTATGGACTGTGGGGAGTTTGCCTTCGTGTGTGTGTGTGTGTGTGTGTGTGTGTGTGTGTGTTATGGGGGGATCGGGGTACAGTCTCTACCTATGATCTCTCAAACGTATATTAGCAACCTTCTATAAAAGCAGGACATTGGCTGCTGTGGTCTCCTGCTTTACCTGTAGCAGGTTCAGGTGTGATGTCTTGTGTTCTGTCAGGGTCGATGGCAGTTTTATGAAGAGTTTAGATGATGGTTTTGTACAAGATGGTTTGGACAGGACCGATCCTGCCTCAAGCAGGGGGTCAGAAGGCCGTTCCAGTCCCGTGCTCCGTGATTCCATGATTCTATTCTGATTCGGGAAAGGGGGGTTACAACTGGGGTCTGGGACCAGGATGCCTGTGCTCTGTTGCATCCGAATGAGAGGAGTGGGGCCTGGTGGGCTAAGACAGGGGATGCTGGTAGCCAGGCTGCCTGGGTTCTCTTGCCAGGTGACAGGTTGTGCCTGGGTGCTAACCACATAATCTTTTCCAGGGTGATACGCTGCTCGTGTGGAGAGATGAAGAGGCTCTGACAACTCAGGGCAAATGAATGGTGAGTGTAGAAGTTGATCATAGGTATGTCATAAGATTCCCCATGAAACCCTGAGATGCAGTTTGGCTAGAGAGGAGGGGGAGGGATGGACTTCTTCCCTGTAAAAAGATCAAGTCTCCCCTTCCCTTCTGCCCCTTACATCCCTCCCTTTTCCCAGCTGCCATGACAGGTTTTTCACACCCTTCTCAGAGCCCTTGCACCAACACACAGCTATGAGGGTGGGTCCCTCGTGCCACCCAGGCTGCTGTGCCAGGTCCCTGGTATTAACCAACCACCCAGCTGCCATGTCAGGCCCCTTTTGGTGATATCATAGAATTAGAGACAATGAAGGTTGAAGGGACATCAGGAGGTCACATCTAATCCAACCCCCTGTTCAAAGCAGGACCAGCCCCAACTACATCATCCCAGCCAAGGCTTTGCTAGCCAGGTCTTAAACACCTCCAAGGATGGAGATTCTGCAACCCAAGGATGGAGAGCTTCACAGCTGCCACACTGGGTCCCTTGTACAAATTCAGAGGTCTCCTGTTGAATTCCTTGTGCTACCCCTGGCTGCCATTTTGGGACCCTCCCACTAACCCCTCTGCCATCTTTCTGTCCCCAGCCCATGGCGCTGTCTCCCTGTGGAAACCAGTCAGCTGTGCCCACCACGTTCCTGCTGCTAGGGCTACCAGGCCTCTGGGAGACCCGCCTTGGCCTGTGTGCCCTCTTCCTTCTCCTCTACCTGCTCACCCTGGTGAGCAACCTGCTACTGCTGGCAGTGGTGTGGGTTGATGCCCACCTCCATGTGCCCATGTACCTGCTGCTCTGTGCCCTCGCCACCTCTGAGACCTGCTTAAGCCTAGCTGTGGTCCCCCAGATGCTGGTGGCACTAGCATCCCTCCATGGCACAGCCATTCTCTCCTACCAGGGCTGCAAGGCCCAGATGCTGCTGTCGGGTGGCTGGGCTTGCACCAATTGCTTCCTGCTGGCTGCCATGGGCTATGACCGGGCCGTGGCAGTGAGTGACCCCCTGAGGTACACCACCCGCATGGGCCACCATGTCTGCATTTGTCTGGTGGTGGGATGTTGGCTGGGAGGCTTCATAGTAGCAGGTGGCATGTGTAGGGCCATTTTCTGGATGAGCTACTGTCCGGGGCAGAACCCCTTGAACCACTTTTTCTGTGACATCCCTCCCTTGCTGGCGGCAGCCCAGGGGGTCACAGCGCCCAGTGAGGCCGCTGTGCTTCTCCTCAGCCTGCTGGTTCTGGGTGGCTCCGTGGTGGCCATTGTGGCTTCCTATGGCTCCATCCTGGGGGCCGTGCTGAAGGTGCATGGGGGCAGGAGCTGGCACCGGGCCTTCGCCACCTGTGGAGCTCACCTCACTGTGGTAGTGCTGCATTTCGGCTGTGCCAGCTTCATCTACTTGAGGCCCAAGGACAGCTACACCCTGGAGAGGGATTGTCTGCTGAGCATCACCTATGCAGTGGTCACCCCCTTCCTCAACCCCCTGGTGTACAGCCTCCGCAACCGTGAGGTCCACACGGCCCTCCACAAGCTGCTGGTCCAGAGGCGAGTGGAGGGGTGAGTGCCCCCCCCCCAGCTTTAAGGGTGTCAAATTTAAGGTATTCCCCACCCTCCAGGGGTTGGCCAACCCAATGGATAGGACTCTTGAGGACCTCACTCAGCCTTTACTCAGGAAATTCCTCCAAAAGTGTTCAAAGGGAATTCAGGAGGGAGGTAACATAAATTAAGGGCTCATGCTCTGGACATGGTGGAGACACTGGCCTGAGGAAGGGGTGAATAAGAGCTGACTATGATGTTCAGGATTCTGGCTGGAGCCCTGAGAGCAGAGGCAGCCAGTCTTGGCCTGCTGTGCTCTTCCCTGTACATATGTTCATTTCCTTAAGAAAAGGGTAAAGAAAGGTTTAAAGCTCTGGGCCTTCCCAGCCAGCTGGGAGGATGGGAGATGAACTCAGGCCAGGTTGCCAGGTGGGAAAAAGGGGGTTCCCCATGGCAGGGTCTGGGAGTGTTTTCCCCTGAGATACAGGAGGGTCTGGGTGCCCAGATGTCTGGGTTCTAGCCCAGATGTCTCCAGGAGGAGAGTTGCGTCTGGTGGCTCAGAGCAGGGGTCCCTGGAGCTGATGGCAGGAGAGAGTGATGGGCCCAGGTGCTTTTGGGCTGTAACATCCAAAATCCAAAAATCTGAGGCTCCTGGCTCTTTCTTAAGATCTCCCTGCTTCCTCTGCTCTCCTCTGGTGCCTCTTTCCCCATGGAGGTGAGGGAACTTGAATGTTTAGCAGCTTTTATGCTTAGCACCTTTCCCCACCGAAGGTGGGGGAACTTGAACACTTAGCAGTAAATAATGGCTGTTTCTAATGGCATAAGGGCCACGTCTACATGAGATGCTTTACTGCACAGTAGACTAATCTACTACACACTAAAGCATCACTATCTGCATGTGCTGGCACTTACTGTGCAGTGAATTAGTCTACTGTTCAGTAAATTTATTGCTCAGTAAAGACAAATAGCATCAATTGCATGTGTAGACGTGCCCAAGAGGTATCTCTGAAACATGGTGGGATGAGGAAAATCAATGGGATATTGTAACACCAGCGTATACATTATACAGGAATGATAGAGTAGGTCTGGTGGGGGAGTGGCACTCTACATCAAAGACCACATCAAATCAAATAGGATAGATTTTTCAGCTGACTAGAGGTACCATGGATAGAGTTTCTGGGTTTCAATAGAAAAATCTATGTTAGGGGATATACTATTGACCCCCAGCCCAGGCGGTCAGTGGTAAGGGAGATGAGAAGGGCTGTAAAAACAGAAAACACAGTAATAATGGGGGTCTTCAATTTTCCACAAATAGCCTGGGTCAGTCTGACATCAGGCCAGGATGCAGAGATCAAATTTCTTGATGTTATAAAAGACTGCTTCCTGGAGCAGCTAGTCCTAGTCCTGGAACCTGTAAGAGAGAAGGCCATTCTTGACCTAGCTCTAAGCAGTGCACAGGATTTGGTGCAAAGGGTAAGTGTTACTGAGCCACACTGCAATAGTGCAGTTGGATTTGGCATCCATGTAGGATGGGAGACCAAAAGAAAATCTACCACAGGTGCCTTTAGCTATAAAGGAAGACTACACCAAAATGAGGAAGCTGGCTTACCTGGGCACCAGGGTTTGGCCAAGAGCCAAGTGGACTGGTCAAGGAGGTATATCAATTTGATAGGGAGTAACCAGACCAAGAAGGAAATAAGGCTTCTGGAGGGGAGGTTGGTTCCCTCACTGCAAGGCCAGGTTGTGAGTCAGGGGCTCCTGTATAAGCTCTTGACATCACAGGTGTCTAACTTGGGGTCTCAGGAAGAAGGAGCCCCATCAGGCCTGGGTGAGGCTGTGGTAGGAGGGCATCTCCACTAAGGCAATCAGGATCCAAGGCAAAGAGTTCCCAGTTAAAGTCTCCCATTCATTGAAGGAACACAAAGGCCAGAAATCGCTGTGGGGAGGCTTCTCCATCAAAGATCAGCCCTGGACAACATGTAGGCAGAAGGCAGCCACCTGCTTGTAAGATCAATTGGCCCTTGACACCCCACCTCCCTCCCTCCCTGACTGGGGCAGATAGAGGACAAACCACTGGAGCCAGTGGCTCATGGCCCAGAAGTTGTTCTCAAGAAGCTCCTTGAGCAGAGTGGTCGATGGGCCCAGAATGGATGAATGGATACAAAAATAAGTGAAGCAAGAATTTTTGAGATAGGCAAGAATGGGTGGAGCATAGGGTTGGGATACAGGGCTGGACAGAAGATATATATGGGAATGGATGGATGGAACGTATATGTGGAGATGGGGGGGTGGATAGTTTGTGTGAGGCCATAGAGACAGAGGGGTGGGGGAGGATGGAGGGGTGGATAGATCCAGGAGGTGTGGGTTGCAATGACTATACTGTGGATAGAACGTGTGTGGGAGGCTGGAGAGACAGTGTTACCTGGATTATAGGTAATCCTGTGGGTTGGCTCCTGATAAGAGGCAGAGAGAGGTCCACAGCCTGACCTTTTACTTGTTTGGACTTCAGAACACAAAAACCAGACATTTATCCCAAAGTCTATCTGTCTGCCCATGACAGCACACCATCGATTCTCACCTGTACTGGCTGGGGAGACTCAAGAGGTGCTAGGAGGGTGGTACGCAGATTGGCAGGTCTGCATGAATTTGCTTAGTTCTCCAAATTTCCCTCCAGCCCATATCCCATGTCTAGAGATGGTGGGTGCTAATATTCTAATAAATGGACCTCTAATTGGTTTTCTTAAAATGTCTTTATTTCACTGAAACTTTAGGAGCTGGCCTAAACTAGATCTCTTGTGGATTTGGAAGGTGTCAATGAGTTGGGATTCATATTCTTTGGAAAGTAAAAGGTGGGGGGGTATCTCCTCTCCTTCCCCATTGTGCAATGCTGTTCAACATGAGCCTGTTTCCTCTTTACCTTAGTGTATGGGCTTCTCTGCCAAGGCTGTTTTGTTTTTACAAATTATCTAAGCATTTTAACAAAAATATAGATCTATCATAGCAAAGCAGCATCTAAGACATTTGGTTCCACTAATCACTACTAGTAGTATTTTAAAATGAAGCTATGATGCAGTATATCTGGATTATTTAAGGTATGGTCTTTCCTGTTTCCTTTCAGACCTTCTGCTTCGTTTGATTCTAACTCATTACTGGTTTAGTTAGACACGTGGATGTTTCCTTTCCTTTGCTGACCAAGCAAGTTGTCACATTTACAAAGCTTCACGCTACAGTTATTCAGAAACAAGCTTTGGGACCGTCTACTTAGCCACACTTCTGCAGCTTGGCCTAGGCCTATTGAAAATAGCCAAGGCCGGCAACAACAGTCAGATGGCTGGAGAGAGGTGCATGGGGGTACAGACAGATCAAGAGAGCCTCAGGGCACCTGCTGTGCTCTAGTTCCCATCAAGAACCCCTTCCTGGTTTATGGTTGAATTATTGATCCCAAACCTGTCTTCAGCCCCCATAATTGCACTGGTGGGAGCCTGCTGGCAGGGTTCATGGTTGCACTGTGTCCCAAAGTCAAGGTCCTTCAGCTGAGCCGTTCCCAGACAGATTCCCTCACTTCTCTGAGCAGATGGAAGGCTCCCCCTCACATCCATTTGGGCCCAAGTCTTGGCTTCTTCTTTGCACGTATAGTGATCTTGGCCCCTCGGTGCTGCCTGTCCTGTGTCCAGGTTGTGCCAGCCCCTTGGGGAAGTAGACCCAAGTGCAGAGATCACCTGTGCCACTCGAGCAGAGGCAGAACAGACAGATGGCACAGAGTTGAGGTAGATGGACCTGCAGGGCAGGGTGCACCCTGCCAGTATCTCCACTCATGGAGCCATGCTGGATGCTTGGATGTGAGTATGAGTCTTATACTGGGGGCTAAGTTTAGGGTTGAAGGTGGGGGTGGGGGCTCTTCAGCTGGAGATGGCCAGAAGAGAGCCAGGAGAGCTGGTCAATGGGTTGCTGGGGTTTGCAGTGCAGCCTCATCACTGCACTCACTCCATGGCTTTGAGAAGAGCGGACCTTTCAATCTGCACATGGGGGAGACATGGGATGTTCAATTCCTCCTCGATCCTGAAACCTCAGGGAATGAAAGTGAACACATTGTAATATTCTTGGCAATTAAAAAAAATCAAAGAACATTTTCATCCAAATAACATTTTCTGGAAACATTTTTGGAATGTTTTTCTCCACCCCACCAGAATTAAAAGTTCATTAAAAGCAACACTTGTGTTTCAGTGACTGGGTGTGAGAAAATAAAAACAGTCCTGCCTAAGGCGGTGTAGTGGAGGAGAGATGCAGAGATCTCAGACCAGCCAGTCCTTCACCCTCAGCCCTTCATCCTCAGTCAACCTGTTTTCTCTCAGAAAAGCAAAATTGTGACATTTCTGTTTTCCTCCCTATTCCTGGCCAAATCCCTTTAGCAGGTTGGGTTCATTTCACTCAGGCCGTTGGTCCCAGAGCTATGGCCGAGCCCCTGCACCTCACCTCTCTCCTGCTCTAGCCCACCTGCTCCCCCATAAATGGACAAGAACTCAGGTGTCCAGGGACCTTCCCGGCCCCCACCTCTACCCCACCAGGCCGGGCTCCCTGCAGAGACATCAGGGATGAGATTCATCTTTAGCATGTTATTGAGGTGCCTGGCTCCTTGGTTCCCCTCTGGGCCTACTTAGCTGCAGCCTGGCCCCAGCACCACCTGGAGACAGCTCCTCCCCCTGGGGCTCATTAGTGACGACCTCAGACAGTGACGCAAGTTGTTATTGACAGTCCTGAGATACACAACATCTCCTGTGCGGCTTTGCCCTGTGCCTGGGGGTGCAGCTTCCCAGCCATGGGCCAGAGGGCCCCTTGGGCCTCTTGAGTGGCGTGGAGCAGTGCTACACTCCTCCTGTCTGTACCAGAGCCTCAAGGTGCAGCTGCCCGGAGATGGCTGGATCTGCAGGACATCCAAACAGAGAGGATGCCAGGGAGCTACTGTCTCCATGGAGCCAGCCCTGGGCCAGCCTTTGCTCCCAGTTCACATCTGCAGAATGAAAAGCC